AATGCAATTTAGTGAAGTAGTTAGACGAAATTGATTAGTGCGTAAATTACCGATACTTCTCGTTAGATATCGCTGAGTTAAATAACTAGATTGATGGACGCCATATTAGATTTTTATGACATTCAATAGAAAAAAAATAACAAAATCAGCAATACTAAACACTTAATATTTAATTTGGGAATCAACCTTGCATTTTTGCCTCGCAGTTTACAATGTATTTCTTATGGCAATAATTCCATGGCCGTGCGTCGATGGCAGGGTCGATGGTGACTATGCGAGACATTAATAGTAAAGTATTTATTGTACAAGGCGACAAAGGGATATTTTAACCATTCGGTAAAAGATCTTAGAAAAAAACCCTTCCGACATTTAAGAAATATCAAATCAATTTTGAAAATATAGGAAGGGGGGTTACTTCGCCCATTGCGCATTACGTTTTAAGGCAAAAATATGCGTAATTATTTTATTCTGTATAAAAATTAGTCTAATAAATTAAACAAATATAGCAAACGAGCTTAGCTATACCTTGACATTGCGTATTATACCTATGGCTAAAAGTATGGTCATTTTGAATTTCGTGCAATTCGGTTCATAACTATCGGAGTTCTTAAAAAGGCCTTTCTTATCTTTTAGCCTACATTGCCAATTTACGAACTCCAATCTACAAATTTGATAAAGAATCCACCTCCAAATTTCATCGTAATCGGTCCATTCGTTTACGAGATATCGTGCTAAAGGACGAACGGACGACACCGCAAAATTATGAACTCGCTAGGAGCTCATTAATCGATAACATTATGTTTATTCCATAAGGTTTAGCTTTTAATATTTCATTTTTATATAAAATTCGAGTTCTTTAATTTTTTTAATAGAGCGTTGATGGATGATACACTAAACAGTGTATCTTCATATGCGTGATTTTGTGTGCTTGTCGTTGTCTCTCAAATGCATAGCCAATTGATCGTATTGCCTAAAGGCTTTAAGTTTGAGAGTTCGGTATTTAGTATTCAAGTTCGTATTAAAAACGTAGTTACTAAGAGAGACAAACTACGGGCTGCATTCTGATAGCATACAGTAAATTCCGGCTGAAATTGTAGCAGTCCCATTACTTTAAAAAATAAACCGCTATAAAAACCCACATGAAGTCTTGCGGATTTTATTATTTTGTGTTTGTAGAAATAGCGACGGAGCCATGATGACCTTTTATTGCTTTAATAATACCCTTCATACACAATGAGACGTTTCTGCAGAGATGACGAGGAGTAGCCGTTTTCCGCATCCAGTGCATGCTTTAATAGTCTCGAAAATTAGATCTGGATATTTTTTGCTCCGAGATGAACATCCTAAGGCTACGAATCCCATGCAAGTAGGTGCACGGTCTACACTGACTTCAGTCAGGTTAGCGTCCTCCTCCTCATCGCATCCCTCAAACAAAACGTACTCATTAAAAAGAAAGGCGACAGAAGAAAATATTCCAATATATTGGAAACATTACATGGTAATTTACGGCGGAAAATCTAAATTAATTATCAACCGATTTGAATTGGTTACAAGCGCAAAGCGGAGGCGGTTGCAGACATAATAAGATTGTAGTTTCGCACAAAGGAGTCTAGCAAATAATTAAATTAAAACGTTTTTTTGCGTCTGAGTTTTTCGAATTCTAAACGAACACAACTGGCAAGATCATCAAAAATTCTACGGTATTGACAAAAAAAGCGGAGAAGCACGCAAGCGCGTACTCGCAATAACGATTCCTCGGCAACGTCCATTGATAGATAAAAGTTCTTCTGCAGAGTAAATAATAAAAGGCCATTTTAAATCTACAAGGAAACGTGTCGTCTTTGCTTCTTAAACAAAAGATTAGAAAATGAATCAAACCTGTTTAAAGTAACTAACTATTGCTTAAAACGAGCAAAAAATCTCGCAGGGTCGCTCTTTTTCTACACCGATACGGTTCCGTTTTGGTTAAAAAAGGATGCCGCTACCAGCTGTAGCTGTTTACAAGCCAGTCACGCCAAAGCAAAAGGATACAAAACAACTTCGGCTCACATGCAACATACAACGATGCACTGACCGTATAATGCAGTTCGAACAACCTAACACCAAAGAACTTGCGCAAATTCTTAATTGCTCGTTATTAAATATTTGCAATCGGTTTGCCATTTGATCATCGGGGTTAATTGTCGATTTGCCATTTTTCCTCTTAAAAGCGAAAACACTTTCTCACCAATTGCATATTATCCGAGGCGAGGTTATTCAACTCGGGGAAAAATTGCAATTCGGTATGCAGCGCTGATTTCCTTCGAGAATTAAGCAACATCCTATATATTCATATAGTTTTTACGGTTATAATGGCACTGTGAAGAGGTACGTGACGCGGCGTCGATGATTTTTATAAAATATAAGATGCACGTACGCGAGGAAATACGTGGTGGATTCGCCTAGGAAGCTTTTTTCCGAAAATCGTTGGATGCAATATGAAATACATATCACTTTCCCAACCGCACCTGCAAGGAATTCAGACGCCAATTTAAGTCATCTTTAGAAAGTTTCCTAAATTTGGGGTCGAAATTTTACTCAGAAACTGCCGTTAAAAACTGAAGCTTAAGCTTCCAATCTAAAGTTCAAGGCGTAGGTGAAATCAGGATCAGTCCCTCTATTACAACATTTTGCAATTGTAATGAGTGTACTCCCCGTAATGGACCTTAAAATCTACAAATTTATCCATTAAAAAAAAAGTGAGCGGCTGATAACTTTTTTAACTGATCACATACCTACAAGCAGCTACAAAACAACACATTGTTCAACAATCGTTCTAAAAAACCTTTGTAATAAACATTTTTCGGTATTTCTTTTAACTAGGAAAATATAGGGTCATTCCGGAATTGGCAAATTTTTAATGGTCCTTCGCATCTCTTAAATGTGCAAAAAAAATTTCAAATTTTCAATTTACCATCATAAGTTAGTCACAAAAAGAGCACCTGGCGTCTCTATTAATTTTTTGATAGCACTAACAATTACGGAGGTCACAGTGGCGAAAATGGGTCACCCTGTACCTCGGCTGATATACGTAGCGGACGAAGAAAACCAGTAATAAATGATGACTGCTGAAAGTCATCCACACTTGAATAGATACTAAATATGAAAAGCTGGACGAGAGGAATTTAAGAAAGGAAAAAGCGTTTTCGTCATTCGCATAGAACATCAACAACCAGTGAGAATAATTCCAACAAACTTGTCAGGAAAACATCTTTCAAAAAGATTAGAAAGGTCTGAAACGATTAGATTCCTCAGTTTTGGGTTAGTTGGAACCTAATATATCCTTGGATATCACAGACATATCCATTGATATCCACGGACATCCTCGGATATCTGTGAAAATCTCGGATATCCTGCGTACATCTACTATTGTGTACATTGGATATCTACTTATAAATTACAACGCGCACGTACGCAATTTCCATATTGCAAATTTATTATATTTTAGCCCCTGACCCCTAGAAATCTTACAATCCGGGGCTACAAATATTGAGAAAATTAATCCATGCAAGAAATTTCAGGGAAATTGGAAATCATTGTGGCAATTTTTAGAAAATATGAGAAATAAAGGGAAATAAATACATTTTTGGGGTATAAGGAAATTCTCGAGAAATATAAAACTGTGAGAAAATGTAAAAGAACTGATCATGGTTTTATTTAATTAAATGGGAAAATTTTCACTTTTTGCGTGCCGGTGCCAAACCAAATGATTCTTCTGTTCAACTTCAAGCAATTGCGGTAGTAGGTTGGGGAGAAGTGGCGAGGGGCAAACGATCTGACCTTGGCTATCCTCCCCCGCCCTTCTTCAATATTTAAATATTTAATAATTGAATTTTGTCACCAACTATCACGTTTACCGACTGATTTTTAGATCATTTCTTGCGTTAAACTCTTGGATTCGCAAATACATGCAAATGGCAAAATCGTAAAGAGATGGCCAGGAAATTTCATCTTTAAGTAAATGTGGAACGAAATGCGGCATTTTAAAGCGCACAAGAAACTTTCTTCGTATCTATATAGGTAGGCGTCACTACCTACTTATTTAACATAACAACCCCTAACTACAATGTAAACGTCACCAACAAGATTCGAATCCAATCGCTTATTTGTTTCAACAATCTCCCTGATGCCTTTTACATTTTATATTATCTACGAACGTCACGAACAGCAGATTTTCGAACCTACTAAACACCAAATGTGCAAATATTTACGCAATGCATACGGCACCCTTAATTTATTTAATGTCCCAATATAGCGGTCGCTATCTTTTTGTGAATTTTCAAGCACTGGCGAGTCTGCCAGAACACGCTCTTAAAAAAAGACGATGTAAGAACGTTTTGTCGTAACTGAAATTGCTTCCTGCAAGTTGGAGGCTGTTGATGGGGTCGAAGGTACATCTGTGGCAACAATTTCGACCTAGAAAAGCGATAGGCCTACTTTAACTGTAATTAAAACTCTAAGTGCAGTATGCATTTGAAGTACGTACTTATGCTCTTCCACTCTGATCACAAGAGTAAATACGGAAAAAGCCTTCGTGTTCGTGAATGGCACGGCTTAGAGTAAGTTTCGAAAAGGACACTGGGAAATTTTTGTTTAATAAATGAGCATAATTATTGTAAATTAAAGAAATCCACCGCGTAATTATTGAACAAATGCGGTCAAAGCAACACGGAAAAATCAATGTCTGGGGTAAATATGTAACAAAGACCCACATAGCATGAAAAAGAATGAACGCTAGGAGGGTGTTTCATACACTGAGCCAAGCCACCCTATGGATTAATGGGGCGAGTTCTCAACCCCTTGTAGTCCTATGCATTAGCTACCTCGCCATTTACGGATACGTAATGATAATAGCAAAGCATGTGAGCACTTCACGCGCTTCATGGATTTCAGGTAAATGTAGACCACACACGAAAGTACTAATTACGTAATACTACCGAAAAAAGGTAAAGGGTACTTACTCATCGCTCGACCAAAATGGCGACTCCACTAACCTGTAACAGAGAAGGAAGTATTAGTGCGAGCCCTATATTGGAAAATTTGCATTTAAATCAAGTAAGCTAAAGGGCTGAAAAATGAAAAAAAATTCGGTCACCCTTCTTGCACGCACGCACACATGCAGTATGCGGAGATGCAGGGCATCTCGTATATGGTAGATTGTCACGGACAATAACAAATGAATCATCTCTCGATAAACGGATCAAGTAACACACGCAGATTCTCCCCTTTGAATTAAACCTCCTACATCTTTTGTGCTCGTTTTGTGGAGGGAGTTTAATTAAAGTGACAAATTCGCTCTTACCCTAGCGATAGTAAAGGGAAAGGTCTCACGAGACATACAAGCAGAAAAATGTTTGATAATTCTTAATTGATGCTCATGTTAGTATATTAACCTACTGACTGTGATGTCGGTTTCAAAAATTTGAACCACACCAAACTGGCTTTTAATGATTTAAAAAATTCTTTGTTATCTGTTTACAGAAGTAAGGCTATTATAATATTTAACTTGCAGTTAGTTGTGCGGCGGCTGCGTTGTGTTTCCTCGGTGTTTCCAAATCTAAACCATCCTGCATATCTTGAAATTCATTTGGTAGAAAATGAAGATAACATTGGCCTGTCCAATTTTCGTCGTAAATGAAAGGTCTAAGAATTCGCGATCCAATAATTCCGCGCCAAACATTAAATCCAAGTTTTCTTTGATTTCTTGATTACAACCTACTTTGAATAGGTATGGAATATGATTATTAATTTAACTTTCATAGTGAATTTTTGAAGAATGGCCTTTAAATACCTATAACTCTCGCCAGGAAAGATTGCCGGTCACAGCACACCTTGTGTCGATTTTACAATCTTTGTTTTTATTAAGATGCGAACGACTTCTGGAATAGGATTGTGCTAATGTTGAACAAAAAGTCTTTTCGTTCAACATTGACACGATACTATCCCGGAAGTCGCAAGCACCTTACGAAAAACAGAGATTGTAGATCGGGATCAAGTGTTCTGTGACCGGCAATCTTCCCTGGCGAGAGTTATATGTTAAATGTGCCACTGTTACCTGTCTCACTAGATATTGTTTTCCATGGCCCACTCTGTTTACTTACCTCTCAATAATACGAAAATTACTGCAGGGCGTTTATTTATTAAAGTACGTTTAGCAAGCCTTATATCATTATAAAGAAAAAATTTGTCCTTTTTAAAAAAGTCAAAGCCAACTATGACTATACCATTAAAAGTTTGTATTATAACTCAAAAATTGTAAGATCTAATAATAAATTAGTATAGTATGTTCATCATGTTAAGCGTTAAAATGTCTAAAACTTTTATTCGTGTCATTTTGTTGCATTTCTAATAATAACGATTCTACAACAGTTAAACGAAAAATCTTAAAATGGAAAATTAGAACTCACCCTGTATACTGTATTGAGTAGCATTTTTTATTACGAATACAGCAATACACACAACAACAAAAATAAGTATTTTTTAGTACCTACTTTTTTGCATTATTTATAGATCACTTTGTTGTTAGCTCTATTGCTAATTAAAAATAATTGCTTTATAAATTACTTTTATGTATCTAAGTATTACAATTGAATAACAAAATAAAAGGCATTTCCGAAACTCTGGACACATCTCATTGTATAAGCATTGCCTTCTTAGGGATTATATCTGCGTAGATTTAGGGCGTCTGTTTACTCAAATGTAACAAACAAGTAAATAGCTACAAAAATATTGTTTTTCTGAAACTACCTTCGGCTCTAAAAAAAGTGAAGAAAATGTAATTTTCCTCTCTAGTGAGGAAATTAAAAAAAATTCACAGATTTCGCAACCCTTGCAACCATCGGAGACATTGAAAATGATAACCGTATAACCTATAAAGCCGTAAATAACCCTTATTCACACGGAATAATCTTGCGTCACTCGCTCGCAAGCTCGCTCGTGTCGCAAACGTAAACTTTCTAAATAATAATCGGCGTAACATGCTTGTAATACTATCACGGGCGATGTGCGAGAATTAATTCAATTCGAATTAACAAAACCCCTGCGCACTGTTAAGTAAGTACCGTTATCGACAGTATCCGCGACTTTTCCTAAATCTACCGATTGCAGTCGAGTACGGTACAGTCAACACTAGAACGACACCACTTGTCTTCTTTTCTACTCGGCAAACCTGGTAAATTCATACCCATACAAAACATAAGCATTTCCAATGCTAAAAACAATTGCCGCGAATGACATTTAAAATTGAAACAGATCCGTATCTATAGATTGCTATATGTGTCAAACTTCATTATTGCTTTCAACAATTTTTGATTGTAGTTTCAGAAAAAATTATCTGTAAAACTTGGGAAGAAAGTGTTTCTCGTTCAAACTTTGAACTCGAGTTGAAAAACTCGACTTTCTTCTCTAGTTGTACAAATAACTATTAGTTCGTCGTTCGCATCATTAATTACTGGGAGTAGAAAATTAATGTTTGCGAGGTTGTTTATCTTGTTTATTTGTATCGCTAGATTACAATCGGTGCAAATTCTTCTTCAAGCCACCACCAAAAACACAAACGATGACATCAAGATGACTAAGCTTTGCAACGGAAACGTTTTTAAACGCTCGCAAGCGTAATCAGCAAAGGTATGAATATGTCGGAAGTTCAATAACCCGATGAAATTTGATGGAGTCCCTGCCGAACTGGAAAACATTTAGGGAATTTTAACGCGTAGTTTAAAAAAAGTTGTATATTCACACGGCGGGTACCTACATGCCTAAGCTTAATTAATTTTCCCAGAAGATCCCGTCGCAATTTACCGTATTTGAGGATAATAATCTCTTTGACATCAGTTTGCGAATGAATCCTCCCTCCCCCACACAACCTCGGTTGACCATCCCATCCCATACTCATCCTACACCATCTTGTTTAATTTTATTGCCGCCGTATATTTCTACCTACCTGACCATTTGAAACTTTGTAAGTGAAGAGCTGCAGGTCCAGGTACGTTTCATTTACCTTTTCCTCCACGAACTTTTGATTCTTTTACCCTTCCGTTTGCATTCTTAAGGCGGAGTGTGCGACGCACCCCCCTCACTCAGAGTGACCAAAGCTATGTGAAATATTCGTACGTAGATCTAATTTTTAAATACGAAACCAGTTTTTAATGAATAGTCTATTAAAATTCGCACGACCTGCCTTAATGTTGATGTCGATTTCGTGTTATTTGAGTCATTTTCGCATTCGGAATTTACTTCGAAATACTAAAAAAACGCTTCTGGTTAATTCTCGGTGCGATTTCAAATTACTGTACTTCTACCTGTTGGGTCCTGAGGTGATTCGCAAAAACTCATAATGAATTTTAATATAATAGATGCCTTCGTTCGCCTCTACCCTGTGGTTAATCGGACTCAAAACAACTTTCGAAAAAAAAAGAACTTCCATCATGAATGGATAATTTGTTCGGGTCGCTTTTGTACGAATCTGTCGTTTGAAGAATCTGTGGTCTCACAAAAAAATCAGTTGGTCGTTTTTTCGTGCACTCCTCGTTAGTCAGCTGATAGTCCGCAAGGCAGATTTTTTCTTCTACCAAACGACAATATGTTGCCTTTCATCGCTGTTTCGTTTTGGATTCGTTAGTTGCTGTTCTATAACCTCAAGGCGATAATTCGCCGCGATCGATTTTTGTGCACTTTTAGAGGTAAGAATTAAAAAAAAAAGAAAATGCGGGAGAAGTTTTTTTCACTAGAGTTTGCAAGTTCCACCAAATACCGAAATTTGGTCTGCGAAACGAATTACAATAGGAAAAATCATTGTTTTTGAATTGTTTAATTTATACCCTCATAAAATAAAGAAAATTTCGCTAAAATTAAGTTTCTATGCTTTCATCTGTTATAGGACTGATAAGAATTTTACTTAAAACTTGAAACTTTGACATGTGCCTGGCGTCGCCGCCTCTCGCAGGATTTAGTCAACTGTCGTGAGGGTGCGTCCCTGGTAGGCACTATGCAAAAACAAACAAACAAAAGAGGTTTTCGGGATCGAGTTTATCTCACAAAAAGATGTTACTTTTTTCTGTGGCCTGTATCTTCAGAGTTACTCCATACTCACAACCAAATTTGGTCACCCCTGTATGTGGAGAAAACTTGAGAAAATTTGTTGGGAACTTACGGGTAGCAGGAACTTGATTAGAAACTGTGTAATTTGAAGCGCGTAGTTTAAGAAGGACTAGACATTCCAAAATTTAGTTTTTACATCACATTTCTAGTAACTATTTCTCTTTCCATTGGATATCATCATAAAAGGGTTTTGACATAAATGCTCGTAAACGATCTGCAAATAATGAAATGTCAAAAAATGGCACAAAACGTTACTAACATTTTAAAAAAAGACACCTGAATAATGCGAGTACAATAAAATCGAAAAACAGGAATTATTGTCCGTTACATCGGTTGCTGTTTTTACGACCATCATGCATGTATAACATGAGACATGTTTGTATTTTCTCGTCAATTTAATTACTAAACTTTTGTGAAATTATGTCCGTTGTGTTTGTTCATTGGGTATGTTAAACTAAAAGTATCCAAGTAATCCCTGCATTACATTCTTCAGCAGGCATATTTTTGCATATTTGTAATTTAACATGACCGGTGGCACCTGTGCCTTTTCTAAAATTTGACAAACGATCTGTCATCGTCTTTCAATTCTAATCCAACCGTTTCTTTGCAGTAATATATGAAAGGGAGGAGGGGTGACAGATATAAGAATTTACATTTACATTATAAAACTTGTAAATTCATAATTTATGAATGTTTATTCGTGTATAAAATTTGTTCGAATCGAATCTAATTTGTACATCGCGCATAGAATTTAGACTATAGTAACAAAAAACAGGTGGAAAATGTTCAAAGCAGATGTATTTGTTTATTTGCAGAGTCTTAACGTTTTGCGTGATGTAAATGATCGTGTTAATTGACACACACACGTACTTAAACGATATCGATTCGTTTCTCG